TAAAAAGGTCAATAATAGAAATAATTCGTAATCAAACTGGAATTTAAGAGTAATGGACTATTATTTCCTCATTTGCCTGACATGTGTTGATGAAAACAATGCATTTTTTCTTTTATTTTTTAAAAAAGTAGCAAAAAGTTATAATACAGATATAAGGGACTGAGCGTATATGTTTAATTATAACAACTGTATATGAATAGGATTTTCATTTTACGTCATCTTTAATTAAATATCATTAAAACAATTATTATCTGTTCAAACTACAGGAACAAGGCGGAAAACAGTTTTGCATACCTTATCAATCGAACGTTTATACTTGCATTCATTCGAAGTTAAACCATTAAATCTTTGGCTGCCAATTGTATTCGAAATGAAGTGGAGGGTCTGCATAATTCTATTTATTCATCTCTCCTGTATCCAAGGAAAACCGCCTCACATTATCTTTTATTTAGTCGATGACCTTGTAAGTATTTCCATCAATTATTATGAGGCTTTAATTAAGAATTAGTTATGTCGACGAAAAAAAATTTAAATTTTTTTATTATTATTATATTTTATATGTGTACTGTACATATATATATAGTATCATATAACGATAATATTATTATGAATAGGGATGGAACGACGTAAGTTATCACGGATCTTTACAAATACCGACTCCGAATATTGACGTTTTGGCTGCTAATTCAATACTCTTAGATAATTATTACGTTCAACCCCTGTGCACCCCATCAAGAGCTGCGTTACTTACTGGAAAACATCCAATACATTTAGGTAAGTTTATAAAAATATGTTTCAATCATCAATATTTAAACGTATCAAAAAGTTTTTATTGTTAAAATATATACTTTAGAATTTTCACAAACAGAATTAATGAACTTGTCGATATAAATTCAGGTCTGCAGCATCTTGTTATTCGCACTGCTGAGCCAAGTGGATTACCATTGGATGTGAAAACTTTACCTCAATATTTGAAAAAATTTGGTTATCGAAGTCACGGCGTTGGAAAGGTTTGTTTTAATGAGTAATGTGCATGAAAATATTAACTGCCATTTTATATAACTTGAAATGCATACAGGATGTTTCGTAAAAATTGCAGGCATATTCATTTTTGTTCGATTTGAATTATAAGTGAAATTTACT